TGTTGCTGCTGATCTGTTTCATGTTGCTGCTGATCTGTTTCATGTTGCTGCTGATGTTTCATGTTGCTGCTGATCTGTTTCATGTTGCTGCTGATCTGTTCCATGTTGCTGCTGATCTGTTTCAATGTTGATGTGTTCATGCGTGCACATCTGCTCACAGACTCATGTTCATGTTTGTGCTGATGTTCAATGTTTTATGTTCTGAGTGCTTAGTGTATATTTAGTTGATGTTTTTCTTAGTTCATATCTTAGATGTTATTACTGTTTTTCTTATACATTTTATTGTTTGATGTAACTGGGACCCTGTGTACATAATTTCGTTCCACCACATGTACCACATGAGCTGCGAATGACAACAAAGAATCTCTGACTCTGACTGGAGGGGCAGGTAACCAACGCGTGCAGCAGGTGACGGGCGTCACCAGCTGCTGAGCAGCAGAGGGAGCGACACGGTTCAATCATGGCTCCCCAAACAACAAGACAGACTCATTTGTTCATAACGTTATTATTATTAAGACTGAGCAATGACAGATTTTAGCAAACAGTTGCCGAACGCACCCTGACAAAATACAAAATGAGAATGGTGCAACCCCCCCACCCCAAAAAAAACAACTCCCTGCTGCAAAATGTTCCTCGGGGTCACATGCGCCCCCCCTGGCATTGCGGGCGCGCCCCACTATTTGAGAAGGACTGTGTTAGTGAAGTGCGTCTGCACTCAGCTGAGCTCTGTTCCTTCCTTCTTGTAAAACCAAAGTACCCTCAGGCGTTTGTTATTTCAGCAGCAACATTTCAGTTGTTAGTGAACGTCTATAATCTGCCCACTCCTGATGTTCCTGGGAGCAGCTCATCAATTGACAGAAGAATCCACTGCAAACAGTCAGTCCTTGAACCAGTGAACACATTTTAATAAGCCGTGCACAGAGTAATAACTGGCTGTGCATGTACGACTGTTTAACCCAATTCAAAATGGCCGCAACAGCTAATCAACTTTTGTCAACACAAAAATGGTGAGGTCGGCCAGTTCTACACATTTTCTGGTGCGCTTGTAGCGGAGTTCCACTGAGCATTGCACGAAACGGCGCGTGTAGGAATTATTTCTCAGATTTCCCCCTGGGATTAATAAATGATCTAAGCTAGCTAATTTATTTCAAGGTTTGGTCAAAGTGCCTACGACTCGAGTCATTTCTCATTTTAAAACGATCTTTGTGTAAAACTGTGGTGAGATGCATCACCTGAAGAAGTGCTAGGCCTTAAATTATAGTTTTATATCATCGAGCAGAAAACGGATGGATGACCAAGTGCATCCAAGAGAAAGGACAATGATTCAGTTTTTGTCAGATCCACTTGTCTCTTAAGGAATTTAAGATTACAAAATATGGCACCTGGTAACTGTAATCTGGTTGTCCACTCATTACTGAGCGATGTGATTCATCTCAAAACCAAAAAAGGTCCAGCTCCAAGCACGATAAACTAGGTGAACCAACCGAACCATGAGCCTGACAGAGCTTGTTGTTGAAGAGGTTCTTTGCTGCATCCTTCTATGCTGCAGGTGTAACCAGGTCCTTGTTTGTCTTCAGGGAATGAGTATCTCTGTTCTCGGCCCCACGTTCAATAATTTGGCAGAGAATGTGAACAAGACCATCAGCAACATCTCCTACATTTTCGTCGGCCGCTCTGCAGGCTACATCGGTGGCTCTCTGATTGGAGGCATTCTGTTTGAGTGCATGAACCCTTACCTCCTGCTAGGTAACCCCTCACCCACTGCAGCCACACTGCTCACTTTGTTTCTATGCAAAATATCTTTTGTTCATTTCTTCCTCTAGGTTTGTCGGTGCTGCTCACAGCATTCGGGATGTACGCCATCCCTTTCTGTAAGCAGGCGGTGCTCCTCACTGGCTTCATGTCCAGCATTGGGATATCTATGGGTGCTCTGGATACAGGTAAGACGTCATGTCACTCCAACTACCTCCATGTCCACTCTTACTGCATCCATACGTCTCCTCTTTGTTTTTAGATATTAACTGTATTGTTACAATATCCATGAAAACATGGCCGGATGACTTGTACAACTTATCTTTGCATTCAGACAGAAGATGCCTTTCTAAATGTATCTAGTTCTAATGGCATGACTACATCACTATCATTGACATTTTTACAATTACTAATGTCAGTATTTTGGGATGATTGAATAGGGTTTGCTTTTGCTTTTGGTCTTGTGAAAATCAGTGACCCCTCCGAGTTCAAAGGTTTCTCAGCTTTAATGAGAAGGTTGAATGTCGAGTAGCTGAAGCCACGAGTTGCAACAATTATATGTGAGGGGGACGTGTCCCCCACCCCCCCCATTTAAAAAATATACATTCGGACCCCCCTCCCCCCATATTTACCATGAAATATTAGTTCACCCAGCGCTGTTTCCATTTCTTTGGGAACTAATCCATTCCACATAGAATGCTCAAATCACTTAAATTCCACTCTGGGTTTTCCTGGTTACCTACAACTCGCCACACCTCAGGCAGCGTTTCACCTCGGTCACCTGCCTTGGCAGGAACGCTGAGGGGGAGACAGAGGTGTCCCCAGATCCTTGACTAGCTTAGCGCCACGTTAGTGCTGACGAGGGCGGGGCGGTTAGGATGCATGAGAGAAGCGGAGCATGCTCCATTCACACAAGGAGAGCTGTTGGTCAGACTACTTCTTGTTGTGCCATTAACTCTAAAATAGTTATTGAAAAGTGTTTACATATGTAGGTAAACGAAAAATGTTTAACAACCTGCTAAAATATATCAGAATGAAAGAAATGACATCTTTATTCAAACACACATTACAAATGCTTTTGAGGCCAATGGCTGAAGCACAGATTGAAAGTCTGAAAATAAATCAGTTGTTGAAAAATTATTTCTTAAATAGTTAGTATCATGACAAGTATCCTGTAGCAGCCCTACGAGGGGCTGAGTGCGTCTCACTGGATCCTCTGCAACTCTAACTTTTCTTCTTCTTGGCCTTTTGTCTTCAGTTGAGATTTCACCTTTTAAAAATCTTATTGCTTCTGAAGGTGTCAGTTTGTAATACAGTAATGTGTTTGTGTTCTGTTCTCTGTCAGGTGGCAATGTTCTCATCCTGAACACATGGGGGGCACATGCAGCTCCCCACATGCAGGCTCTTCACTTCAGCTTCGCAGCGGGGGCCTTTGCATCTCCCATCATCGCCAAGTTGCTTTTCGGCCCGGATAGAAATGGCGAGATGGAGACCCCGACTAACTCAATACTTCTTGGCACAAACTCAACGTCTGTCATCACCGCAGCCCCCCCGTTGATCATCAAGTCCCTGTGGGCCTACATTGTGATTGGCTCCTTTCTCTTCCTCACCTCCTTCATCTTCTTCCTCCTCTACTCTTGCAGCAGCGCGTCACATGACAAGCCACGCTCGACATCAGAGTGCTCCCTGGTGGCCAAGCACCACATGGCTCTTGTCGTTTTGCTCTTCTTTTTCTTCTTCGCCTACGTGGGCGCAGAGGTGGCATATGGCTCCTTCATCTTTACCTTTGCCAAGGATTACGCCCACTTGTCTTCGCTTGAGGCGGCTGGGCTGAACTCACTGTTCTGGGGTGCTTTTGCTGCCGCTCGAGGGCTTGCCATCTTTTTTGCGGCTTGCTTGCACCCAGGCACCATGATCCTCCTCTGCCTGGTGGGCTCCACAGTCTCCTCTCTTCTCCTTAGTCTCTTCAGCAGAAAGAATGTGGCTCTTTGGGTCTGCAGCTGCCTCTATGGAGCATCCATGGCTACCACCTTCCCCAGCGGCATCTCTTGGTTGGAGCAGTACACCACTGTTACGGGTCACACAGCGGCAGCCTTTGTAGTGGGGGCGGGTCTGGGTGAAATGGTACTACCGGCGCTTGTCGGCTTCCTGTTGGGGAAGTTCCCCAAGCAGCCTCTGCTGATGTACCTGTCACTCATCATGGCCATCTTCACCTCCATCCTTTTCCCAGTCATGTACAAGCTGGCATCAGCGCCCAGCAGCCAGAGCAGGAAGGTCCGCAGCATTGGCCGAACGGATGCCGATGAAAGCGAGTGCAGGCAAGCGCTGCTGGACTCGGGAGCCAACGAGGAGGAAGAGGAGGAGCTGGATGAAGCTGATCAGTGGAACGACGCAGACTTTGAGGTTATTGAAATGGACGATGCATCAAGTGGAACGAATTCACCCAGCAAAGCGTCGTCTCCTGATGTCTGTGCTGAACCGGCCTCCTGCAGCCAGCTGGAGGAGGCCGCAGGAACCATGTCTGGTTAAAGACTCTCCCAGACACAAAATGCTGCTTTCTCTGAAAAGACAAAAGAAAGACTGAGAACTACACCTTCGGCTCTGACACTAAAAGAGCCTCAACATGTCTTGCTGTTGCCCGAGACTCCATATTGCCTCTGAAGTTGACCTTAAACTGTCGACTGAAACTTTGGTAGCGACGCTGAGCTTGGATGTTTCTTGGATAATGGTCAGATAATTCTGGCTGTCCTGTTCCTAGTTTGGGAATATTTGTTTCAAAAATGTTTTTGAAATGTTTGTGGAGGTTCTTTGAGCTGCATAGGCATGCACATTTTCAGCTTGAATCTTGAACAAGATCAAGTTGTTTTTTCTTTCCAAAATAACTGCGACCTGCAAAGTTGTTGCAGATATCTTGAACCCAACTTAAGAGTGTTCGCTAACTGCAAGGGGATTTCCTCTGCCAGAAAACCTCCAAATGTCCACATGTTCAATGATAAATATTAAGTTGGTCCAAATCTCTATTTTCATTTTAAAAGTATACTTCAGTAGTTTAAACCAGTGGTTCCCAACCCTGGTCCTTGAGGAACGCCATATGCTGTTTCTCTGCCCCAACACACCTGATTCAGTGATTTGATTAATTCAAGTTCTGCAGAAGCCTGTTAATTGCCCATTTATTCAAATCAGATGTGCTGGAACAGGGAAGCAACTAAAACATGCAGGATGGTGTTCTACAAAGACCAGGGCTGGGAACACTGGTGAGTGCTGAGGCACGTTTTCATCATTCAACCTTTATTTCTACAGGTTAGTCATACTGAGCCATGAGGACTCATTTACAAGAGACTTGTTTTAAACAAAGAACATAGATGAGGTACAGACAATAGACAATCATAAAAAGCATGTAAAATGAAAAATAAATAGAAATGAAATGAAAATAAAAAAACGCCCTGCTACATTATAAAGCGATGTAAAATACTAAAAACAGGAACATGACAGCGTTGGCAGTTGCTTAAAATGCCTTACAGTGGTCAAAGTTGACAGCTTCAGATGTTCTTGCACGGTGTTGCTACAGGAGCAGAGTAGAAGGCCCTTTTGCCTGATTCGGTCCGCACTGAGGGGACGCTGCAAGTAATTGTCCTGAGAGCGCACGCTGTAGCTGCACTCATGCAGAGACATGTAGTTCTATGAAGATATAAATCTATGAAGGCAGCAGACCAAGAATTTAAAGATGAAAATGTACCAGTGAGAGAGTCTGTGTGAAGTTAATGGTGACCAGTTAACCAGTGAATACTGGGTGCAGTGGTGGGTACGGTAGTTACAGCCAGTTATGAATCTTAGTGCACCATGATAGACAGCATCCAACATCTGCAGCATCCAACATCTGCAGCATCCAACATCTGCAGGGTTCTTGTAGGAGCGTTCATGCAAATGTCAGTGTAATCAATGGAGGGAAGGAAAGTCACAGATACAAGGTGTTTCCTAACATTCAGGGTTAGACAGGATTTATTTCCAAAAAAAAAAAAGAAACCCAGTTTAACTGTGAATTTATTTTCCAAGTTTTCGACATGAGGCTTACCTCTACCAAGATACCAAAGTATTTATAAGAATCAACAAACTCAATAGGGACACCACTGAAAGATAAAATAGAAGAACTGCTGGTACTGACTTCCTCTTTGAAAGCGTCCCTTTGGTTTTGTCAGCATTTAGCACAAGTTTGAGGTGGAACAAATCTGACGGATGATGTCGAATGCAGATTGTAAGAGTTGGAAAACCATAGCAACTGTTCAAGCTCGACAATAAACAACTGTGTCATCGGCATAAAAATGTAAGGAAGCATCAGGGATGGTCTGACCTACATGACTCTTGTGGTACACCATTAACAGTTAGATAGCTGGAAGAAGTACCATTATGTTGAGCACATTGCGTCTCAGAGACAGATAGTGAACCAGCCAATGGTGTGAACTGAGAAACCAATTTCTGAGAGCTTATGACAAGATGCCATGGCCCAGTGTCAAAAGCTTTAGACAGGTCTAAGTAAAGTGCAGCACAATGGTCAGCTGCATCAAATACAAACAGAACAAACTGGTTCTGTGCTTTATTCACACTGGAACATCGTAAATATGAAATCTCGCATCTGAAAAACTGATGTTTTTACAGTTGGCGGTATCTTAAAGTTGTTGTTCCAGGCAACAACGAGAGGATGAACGTTAGCAGGACGAATATAAACCAGCATCCAATGCTTCAACGACATCATTAAAAACCTTCAGCAAAGCAGTCATTGTGCCGTTTCCTGAAACCAGATTCTTGGGGAGGTAAGATGTTAAAAGAATCCAAATACTTCTTGACTTGGGAATTTATCAATTTTCTAAAACCTTAGCAAGAATACAGAGTTTAGAGATTGGTCGATAACTGTTCAGTATGGTGGGGTCTCCTCCCCTCAGTAAAGGAAGAACAAAAGCTGTTTTCCAGATGTTTGGAACAGTATTACAGATGTGACACCGGCTCTGTGATCGTATGTGCAGCTAGCCTTACAAAGAGTTTGATGTGGGCAATGAAACGTCAGTTTTGCAGTTTGCCTACTTCAGCTAATAAATGTTCTGTTTTGGTTCCACTGAACTGAGTTGAGCTGTGTTGAGCTGTGTTGAGCCAGTGTTTTCCCTCCCATTATACAACCATCCCGTCAACAGGGCCAAGAGCTCAATCTACTGACACCCCCCCCCCCAAACCACCTGTCGGCACTGACGTAACACTAAATTAGCAGCTTGCAATACAGGTGCACTAGCTACAAAGGCTACAACGCTAAAGGCAACCTCTTCCCTCATGCTGAACCCCCCCTTTGAATACTGTCGGTACAAACAGTGCACGGCTCATGTGTCTCTCTTCCCCTCCCCCCAAA